TTACACACATACAATCTTTAACTAAATATGTGCGAACTTGTTGTCATTACAGAAATACTATACTTTACAACTTGATATTTTTTAGTTATAAAGTTGAAAAAAAAGGAGGATTTTTGTCTCTTTTTTTCTCTTCTTCTTTACTGCGTATAGTTTTCTCATACACTAAAATATAGATTCCTGTTATATCATCACACTTCGAGTTCCCATCCTGGTAATGTGTAATCTAATATCGGTAGATAATATACGTGGATAAGGAACAGTAGCAAGACATTGACGTATGAAAACATTGTAGGTTTTTTGTGAATAGTAACAATTAGAATTTTCAATGAATCAGAGTTCATCGTAGTTCATTAACAGGAAAAATTTTGATCCAACAGATAACTGAATAAAATGGAAGATGACAGCATGTGTTCAGTGAAGTGAAATTTGAGACTAATGAAATGAGACAACGCAGAATGAAAACAATTAATCTTCTGAAACATAAATTGTTATAATAATTTTTTCAGGTAAAAACAAGTAGCAGTTTTATTTGTAAGTTACACAGTCTAATACAGCGTGACATTCTTCATTTTTTGGTCTATAAATTAATGATTTGAACTTTGGATTTTATACTGAATTGGTCAAAACGTCTTTTTTGTGCTAAATACTTCGGTGGACTTGAAAGTTTATCCATTAAAGCCACGTACAAATGAAATAAATTACCTTCAAGTAAACTATTTTCTAAAGCATGAAATACTTCAAAATGTCTTGCAAAATAAATGTACTAGCAAAAATGTACGAATAATATTGAATTATTGTTGATTTAAACAAAAAGAATCTAACAAGCAAGTGTTCATCCATGGTCGTTGTTTATTTTTGGATAATTTTAACACATCTTTTGAAACCTTTTTCATCATTTCGTCAATTGATATGTTTGGTGTTGATATATGTTGAAGAAGAGCTGATGTAAAAAGGCTATTCTCTCCAGAAACATTTCTGGCAATTAAATAGTACCTGGATCAGATGAGAAAATTAATACGTATTCTGAATTTTGAGGTGTACGAACATTGGCTGATAAACCTTTACTAGTTCCATAAACAGGTATAATCGGTAAAGATGATAGAGAGCCGGTAATGTCTTTTGATTTCCACGTATCGTTTTGTTCATCGGCTCGACACGCATCCAAAATGACAATATTAACCAGATTTCGATGTTGATTTAAACGTTTCAAAACATCATCAAGACAAATAAAATCGTATTCAGGAGAATAATGACTAAAACTATAATCGTTATCATCAAACGGAACTACGGGAACTAAATAATTATGACCCTAAAAAAGATACAAACTACATTAGTTCGAGCGTAGTTTCGAGATAAATTCGGAGATCTTATCATGCGGTTTTGAGTGAAACTAACTGAATGGACTTACTACTATAACACTCATCAAAGGTAACTAATCAACTTATACCTCAAGAACGATAATGCCTATTTGAAAATTTTACTAATTTTGTTAGAAAATTGTTCTTATATATAAACATCCTCTTTCTTGCGGAGAACTACTATGACTGATCGATACACTATTAGAGTATTCGTTTGAACAAATTAAACAGCTCATATTCTAATTCAACACTAGCTAATTCAAGAATTTTTAGACGAAGTATTCTAGAAACTGTAGAGTACTGTAATCGAAAGAACATCATGTAAAAAATGCAACATAATCCTGTTTCTACTGAAAATGCTGTTACACCAAGTTTTGGCTTTTTCGTACAAATCCAAAGTAGCACAAATTATCGCTGTATATAAAAAAAAGTATATCAGAACTAATTCTGATAGTGTTTGTTGTTTGGTTTTAAGCCGCTTCGCATATTCGCATCGCGGTCTATGTGAGTCACGTATTTTTTCAAGTGTCTATATTAGAATCTATTTGTATGTATCAAGAAAGCACTTATTGTATTGTACAGAAATGAAGTTGCATTTATCGACAAGTCATTGAGAAGGAATCGAAACACAAGGGTCTGTCTTTTTCTATTGCCAATTATGTCCTTAAGCCGTATGTTTTCAATATTTGGATTTGTTTGGTAATACAATCTTGCAGTCGACTCGTCTTTCCACACCTCTTTCCATTGGTTTTTGATACATTTATATATTTCACTACTAATCTCCATGTTGGTATACTTTGGCTTATTGGTATTAATCAGATGATCAATGTTAATAGATTTCTGAGTGAGAACTATTTGTTTAGCAATGAAGTCCGCTTTGTTGTTGCCAACTGATGATAAGTGTCCCGGTATCCATCTAAATATCATACTGTTGTCTTTTCTTAATATCTCGTATGTTTTTCGAATATCTTGAATCAATGGACTTGTCTGCCTGTTAGATGCTATGGCTTTTAATGTTGACTGGTTATCCGTGAAAAGGGTAATTTGTTTTGATGAAGGTATATCTACTAGAATTTTCAGAGCTAGTTGTATCGCTAACAGCTCGCCATAATACACGGAGTATTTTTGTCCTAAACACATGCCATAATCCTCCCATCTAAACTCATCACCAGCTGTTGTCATTATCATCACGGCTGCTGCTACTTCATCATGTTGTTTAGAGGCATCGGTATAGATCAAAAGCATAGTTGTGTTATCAATTTTTTCTAGCAATTCTTGTTCCTTATTCAATGCTAGCTCATCATTTGAAATTATCACATCAACTGCCGTAGCACATGGCTCAGATAGCACATGCATTTCTGAATGTTTTATCAGTTTACTCATGGGATTATTATCGCTGCTGACTGTTGATATGATTTCCTTTAATTTTGCGAATATTGTTCCCGTTTCTGGTTTTTCAAATAAGGCTGACAAGGGATGATACAGAAGTCGTGAATGTAGAGTTATTGCTTTAATCATCTGCCTCCTCATCAGCCTAAAATATGCAGGTAACAAATTACAGAATACTTCTAGAGATGAGAGTGCTACAGTCTGCCTGGAGGTTCCAAGTGCTGTTGTCAATGTCAGTTTTTGTAATTTCATCAGTGGCTTTAATGCCGCTTTTGTAACATTCGCCCACGCACAAGCTGATAAATCCGTCTGGAATCCAGAATACGAGGTATTTTGATCAATATTTGTCATCATAGGATCACTCGGAAAACTGGCCAAAATTAGCCTAAAATTCGATACATCAAGCAGATCAAGGGTGCTTCTGTGCAACAAGATAACAAATATATGGTAATTCGTTACAATGCATTTGATAGCCCTTGATCTGGGCTACATTTTCCTAACTGAGGTAACTTTCCAAAGTGTTTTATTACTTGTCATCAAAGCCGTCATCTACTGCAATCGAAGCACATCATGCGCACGGAAGTAACATCCCATAGGCTTTTCGTCGGGAAAACTTTTTAAACCCAGCTTCCATTATAGCTCATACGATAGCCGTTTTCAAAAATTACAAAACCGCATATATACCAAAATTAAAAAACATTGGTCACTTAAGAAATGTCCAAGCACAACGTCGTTGACAAATTCTTTTTTCCGTTTTTGACTGATATTTCGCAGATTTCGGTCAGAAGGATTACCGTTTGAGTCAAAACTAATAGCACAGTTGGGGTGAGCATTAAAAACCCAGTCGATTTATGTGTTTTTCAAATTTTTTTCGCCAACTTTTTGTCGTCCAAAAAGTTCAAATCGAGTCTACTTCAGGGTTCTTCTAAAAAATGAATTCAGTCAAAATTTTTTCAAGGGCTGTCGACTGATAATCATATCGAAACAGTCAGTAATATTCGTCCGGGAATAATCGATTGAGTATTCTGAGAAGCCTACCGAAGTAGAAAGGATATTGTTGAAGGAATGCAAGTGAAGTGAAGTCAGGTCAGTTAGAGTATGTAAAAAGTGTTTTTCATCAACAGGAATAGAAAAATCGGAACTGATTAATTGAAGCTGACTCAGTTGATTATTTGATGATCGGGACTGTTATGGCACAGATTAAAGACGTGCCATAAGAGACAATTGTATAATAGTCATATACATATTCGTTCTCTATTCTTCTGCTATGGGTATTTTCTCTTCCTGTCATATATGTATCTGTATTGTTCTCTTTCTTTCTGTCAGGAAATTTCCCAGTAATATCTCTTGGTTTCGTTCTGTACTGTTTCTTTTCTCCAAGAGATATGTCAATGTATTCTTTTAGCTCTGGGTTATAACCCACCGTTTCCGTTTAACCTCAGGTATAAATAGCTCCTAATTTTATGTAAAGATCATCTTGTTCAGTAATAAAGTACTTATACACAACAACGTATACCGGACCTAACAGGGACAGTCTCGGATCTTGAATAAGATCTGATGAAATATGAAAAAAAAAGAGAATGTCAAATATTCTGTACTATATTGTCGAAGAGAATCACCACGTTTATCAGTATAAATTCGAATAATGTGTCTGATTAAACATCTCGGCAAATTAGTCGAATTACTATTGCCAACAATGTTAAAAACAGTTGGTGAAAGATTAAATCAAACGGAAGATCAAGCAGCTGAGATGGAGAAAAGATTGGATAATATGTATGTATCTAGACCAGTTTTTTGTTTATTGAATAAGCCTACAATCTTAAGGGGGGAGGGGTAACCGTTGACAAATTCTTTTTTCCGTTTTTGACTGATATTTCGCAGACTTCGGTCAGACGGATTACCGTTTGAGTCAAAACTAATAGCACAGTTGGGGTGAGCATTAAAAACTCAGTCGATTTATGTGTTTTTCAAATTTTTTTCGCCAACTTTTTGTCGTCTCAAAATTCTAATCGAGTCCATCTCAAGGTCCTTCTGAAAAATGGATTCAATCAAAATCTCACTTTGACAGCGAAAAGCAAGCCCTGAGCTTGTAAAATGTTAGTACATTAGAAAAAGTCACCCTTTGCCGCTGGTGGTTTAGCAAGCTGAAACGTTTAGGATAACCTACTGGGATGGATAGAAATCAAACAGGGATCAGGAAAAAAATTTTCCATTTATTTTAAAGAAAATCTATTTCGTGCTGGAAATAGCCTAAGCTAGTGCATAAAAACTCGAAAAAATGAACTCATTCTTTTCCCATGAAACTCTTCAATCTCTCTTAGATAAGACTACACAGAAAAAAAATCAGATCTCGACACCTTTCCCTTAAGGAGATATTCAATATTCACTCTACAGCAAGGGTGGAAAAGCGAACTTCGGAACTTCGAGACTTCAAAACTTCGGACTTCCAATCGCACGACCGCACTTCGGAAACACTTCAGGAATACAACATTGTAGACTAAAACAGCTGATGTTAAATTACGTGATATTCAAGTAAATAAATCGGCTTTACTTACGTTCTTTCCAGATGATATTAAAAGTTTTAATCGATTATTGATCAATTTACAAAAATGATTTATAAAACTGACAAAATATCGACATTTCTATTCCCACATCAGTTCAGAATATTCTTGATCCGATAAAGAATGTATTCATTAAGAACATCGATTGAAACTTTTCAGATAAAAAAATTATTTACGCATTGAAATAGGGAGATCTCGATGTTATTAAGGGGGGGTGTAACCACGCCCGTTTTCTTTCCTAACTCTGTAGAGAGAATCAAGCTGTATATATCCTGAAGTGCTTTCAATGACCCTCTATTTAAAAGTTTATAAAAAATTCAAAATTGGAGCTGGAACTCTTATTGTTACGCAGTTCGACAGAACACCTTAAGTGACATATACTCACAAGTTACAATGACAACTGAACCAACGTTGGTTGGCATCCAGGCGGACATTAGGTGAAAAATCGAAAGTAAAGATTTTAATATTTCGGTTGTTGACAAGTATACTTCCATAATGGGGCGATCTAATCGTGTATGAATGGTTGCTAAAACCTGAAGCGATGTGGAGAAACAAGTGTTTAGAAAACGGCATGGAAACTACCGACTATCATTGCTCTGGACTTGAAATGCCAGTGTTCGCGTTCATTTG